AGCTTGTGTGTTTAATGTCATTCAAGTGACCAAATTTGAATTGAGAATACAGAGGTGTCTTCCTAATGAAAAGTTTATCAACAGGTTTTGGATTGCTTCCAGATGAAGACTCATATCCAATGCCTCTTCTGTTGTTTCCACTAACACCATAGATCATGGAAGCCATCTTGCTTCTGTCTATGCTCTTAGTGAGAAACCTCTGAAAACTAGAGTCATATTTTTCTAAAATATTTTCACATGACTTAGTCTCAGATTCAGATTCTTGTTGAGTTCTATCAAAGTCATTTTTGATTTTTAAATTTATTTCTTTCTGCTCAACAAGTTCTGTTTTCAGAAGATCAATCTCAGATTCAAGATTGCTTTTCAGCTTCTTGTATTTGAGTTTGATGTTGTTATAACTTTTAAGAACTTCTGTTACAACTTTAATGAGTTCTTCTTTGGTAAGTTTAGCCATTACCTCTTCTGCATCATCATCAGATTCAGATTCTGATTCATATCCTGAGGTACCTTCCTCTTGATCCTCTGTCCTGGCCATCAGTGCAACGTTTGCACATTCTTCTTCTGATTCAGAAGATGACTCACACTCATCTGAGTCATCCCATGTTGCCATCAAAACCTTCTTCTTTTTGTTGAACTTCTTCTTAGGTTTTTCTTTCAGAAGTTTGGGGCAGTCATTCTTGTAGTGCCCAGGTTCTTTGCACTCATAGCACACCACTTCTTTCTTGGAAGATCTTCTGTGACTAGAAGATTCCTTTCTGTTGTCAGATCTTCTGAAGTTGTTAAACTTCTTTCCCTTGTGCTTCCAGAGTTTGTTAATCCTTCTGGACAGCATGGATAACTCATCTTCTTCTTCAGAAGAAGATTCTTCAGAGCTTTCTTGAATGACCTGCAAAGCTTTAGCAGTTTTGTTAGATTTTAAAGCTATGGATTTACCTTTATCTTTCTTCTGGGGTTCATCTTCCTCCAGCTCAATTTCATGGCTTCTCAAGGAACTGATAAGTTCTTCTAAAGTGATCTTGTTCAGATCTTTTGCCATCTTCAAAGCAGTCACCATTGGTCTCCATCTGGTGGGAAGACTTCTGATGATTTTCTTGACATGATCTAACGTTGAGTAGCCCTTGTCCAGAACTTTCAGACCAGCTGTAAGAATCTGAAATCTAGAAAACATAGTTTCCACATTTTCAGACTCTTCCATTTTAAATGCCTCATACTTCTGTATGAGCGCCAGAGCCTTGGTCTCTTTAACCTGAGAGTTTCCCTCATGAGTCATTTTGAGTGACTCAAACATGTCATGAGCAGTATCTCTGTTAGTAATCTTCTCATACTCAGTATGAGAGATTGCATTAAGCAATACAGTTCTGGCTTTGTGGTGATTCTTGAAATCTCTTTTCTGCACTTCAGTCATTGATTTTCTATCAATCTTTTTGCCATCCTCACCAGTAGGATGTTCATATCCATCAATGACCAAATCCCAAAGATCAGCATCATACCCAAGAAAAAAACTTTCTATTCTATCTTTCCAATAGTCAAATTTTTCTCCATCAAACATTGGAGGTTTGGTGCTGATCCTATCCCTCTCTTCATATTTATTGTTAATATTTGACATTGAATTATCAGCCATGATAACAAATAAATATATTTATCAAAGTATATCTCTCTGGATCTTTACTGACACTGTAAAGTGATAGCACACTCAGAACCGGAGCTCTGATGCCAACTGAAGGTGAGATAATACTTAGAAGGGGGGGTTGAATAAGTATGGAAAATTAAGACTTGAAAATAATCACACAATTATTTTTATCCTGGTTCGTTTAACAACTACTCCAGTCCACCCTTCCAGGGTGATTTTCCTTTCTCAACAAGGACTTAATCCACTATTAAATCAAACTGATTACAATAGTATCACCTAAGAACAACAGTTCTTAGTCTTCTCAAGAGCTACTGATTCTAACTGAATCCTCTTAAGGAATATCCTTTACAATCAATGTAAATTGAATACAAGAGTTTTTAATGCTTCTATAAAGCTATAATCACAACAGTGATTTTTCTCTTAAGTTTAAGTACAATGAGATTCTATGAAGAATAAGAATGAGAGCTTATAGAATATTATGATTTCTTTTCAGCAAGTGTGTAGCACTGAAGAATGAAGTGAAGATCTCCTTTTATAGGCAGCTGAATCATGCAAGCTGAACGTTGAAAAGAGAGTCCCAAAAGGTCTGAGCCTTTTTGTCTTCACATCAAATGACCTTTCCTTGAAATAGATGGCACAGAAAAATCCTTTTTGTCTGTGTAAGTGTGTCTAGCACAAATAAGGAAAGAGACGTTGAATAGTTCCAACGGATATATTCTTGAAAATACTTCTTCAGTTTCAGAAAGTTCTTCAGAGTCTGAATGGATCAGAGTCTTCTAATGAGATTCAGAACTATGCTGTATCAGAGTCTTCTGCAGCGTGTGTGCTTCTAGCGTGTTGATCATCAGAGCATTTTGACACAGAACTTCAGTACTTGGCAGCGTAGGTACTTTCAGAAACTTTTGTAGACTAATGCTTTGAGAAACTCTTCAATCAATATTCTTCTATACTTCTGATGCTTCAGCTTCAGATGCTTCTGATTATCTTCAGATGCTTCTGACTCAGAATGTTCTGGAGCTTCTTGCTTCAGATCCTTCTGGAGACTACGCTCAGGATCTTCTGTGAGGAGCAAACAAATTCTTCTGTAAGGTGCATCTGGCGCTTCAGAGTCAGAATAACTTCTTGTATTCAAGGCAGATTTGCTTCTAGAGAGTTAATATAATTTCAATCTGCAGTAAAACTCTCAAACAAATTTTAGAGTATATAATTCTTAAATATAAATTTCCTAACAGTTATCATCAAAACAAAGAGTAATTATTAAGAACCAATCTGTGTTCTAACAGTTTCCAAATGTGTTAGTGTCAATCATAGAGGAATGAGACATTTTCCCACTACACGGGAAGTGTGTGATGAGATACTTAACGAGATTTATTGAGGAAGACCTGACACAACCTGAGTCACATGCACGTCAACCACATGCACCTTATCCTAATTACCCCTCCTCGTCTGCTATAAGGGTAAACTTTATGCATAATGTTAGTTGTTCCATGCACCTCACCACTCCGTATATCGATGATGACTGGGCTATTTGGCAGACGACTCAACAATAGTGTTCGCAAGCTCTGGCTTTTATATGCATTTGTTGTTAGATGTATGATGTGTGCTGAAACATGTGTGAGACTAGATATCAATTTTGTAGTTTGTATGTTCAGAAGATATTAGAGTAATCTAGGGATGTACCTCTAAAAATGCAAAGAAAGTATAAAAATACTTGCAAGTAATGAAATATCATATGCTTATTTATAGAAGATCTGATCATCTTGAATTGATTCGATATTCAGATTCAAATTTTGTCAACTATGTATATACAAAAATAATTAACATTTGATTACGTGTATCTTTTGGCGAAAGGATCAATATCATCAAAAAGTGTGAAGCAGAATCTCATTGTTGCATTCACTATAGATGATGACTTTGTGGCATGTTTTGAGATCATAATTTAAATTAATTGACTATGAAACATTTTTTCAAGAGTTAGAACTGTCGACAATATTTCAAGTCACTAAAGAATTTATTGTGATAATTTCGCAACAGTCTTCTCTAAAAAAACGACAAATATTTATAAAGATGTTAAGCATATGAAATTGAAAAATTTTGTCGTTAAAAAAGGTTCAAAACCATAATGTCAATTGATCATATTGGCACAAATCTTATATTCCAATCTCTTTAACAAAGAATTATAATCCAAAATATTCGTTGGCCATGTGGAAAACATGAGTGTTATAATTGTTAATGAATTATGATGTTTTATTGATAAATTAACACTGGACTCATTTAAGTAATGTTTATGGTTTGTTTTGTTTTTTTACTTATGTATAAATATAATTAATGATAATGAGGACAAATTTTGTTATTGATAATGATATTACTATTTTGAAGTCATTAACTGCTCCTTCCGTCTTAAATTATAAAACGTTTCAGACATTTTACACGAATTAAAAAATTTAAATATTACTTTATGGGTAAGATAAGTTATGTATAATTTTATAGTAATACCTCTTATAATTATACAGGGAGAGAAATTAAAATAATTGAAAGAATAAATAATAATAAATATCTGAAATTATTGAAAAAAGTATCATTAATATTGTATTGAAAATGTAAAATAATTATAATTTGTGACAAATACTTTTAACAAAATACTTATAATTTAGGATAGAGGGTACTTCTCAACTTAAGATTACATTGAGGAGGAGAAATCTCAATATAGTATTATATGAAAAGAAATATATCTATTAAATGATATAGAATTCTCAACTTAAGATTACATTGAGGAGAAATCTCAATATAGTATTATATGAAAAGAAATATATCTATTAAATGATATAGAATTGCCATGACTTTTATTGATTCATATTCTTAATTTTGATGAATGATAGAATCAAATATAAGCAAAAATTAATAGTTAAATTAATAAAATGAACGATGTTATAACATAAAAGAGTTATTCAAATATGTTTTTGTAAAGGTGTTATGCAAATAAAATGAAAATGTATATCAAATAGTGGTGACTTAATGAAAGTCATGAATACTATTGCACAAAGGATTATGTTCCTTCTATATTAGTTTCTCAACTAAATAATCATAAATAAATTGGATCTCCGTCGATTCGAGAAAATCGTATATTTTATGATCCATATAATAGTTAATATTTCTTAATATATTGTATAGTTATCATTCAAAAGAACTTACAAAAAAAACATAATCATACAATCATGAGGAAGTAGCTAGCAAATCCAATTGGTTTTCCATACTCAGCATATTCAGATTCTTGCTTCTGCATCTTCACTCTTTCTTTGATTCAAACCGGCTACAAAAACTTCTAAATTATAATAATGGACACCAAAATACTTGATCCAAAAATCTCAAATTATAGAAGGTTTCTCATAGAAGATTTTCCATACAAGCTTGCATAAACAATCCTTGTTCGGAACACGAGAAACATGCTTAAGGCAGTCGCAACAATGCAAAATCCTGCCATGATAGATGAAGTCAGGAAGAAGCATATGTAACCTTCACACTTTAGCTGCTCGCCACTATTAAGAGCCCGAGAGACAATCGATCCTAAATTCAAGTGTCCACCATGAGCTTGTTTTTCTGCTTCGCGGTCATAGATTCTGCTAGCAATGAGACTAGAGAAGACAAGAGTTCCAACCGGGTTTGCTAGTGTGAGGAAATTGTATAATGCACCAAAGTTTCTCAAACCAAATAATTCAGATGCTGTAGCTGGAACAATTGCCCAATGTGCGCCATAACCAAGTCCAACTAGTAAAGTGCCGACGTACATTGAACCTGGCCATCCCATGCCGATGAAAAGATGACCGATAGTCATAACTAGTTGAAATGCAGCCAATGCAGCTGGTCTTGGATATGTATGATCCCTGAAAAGATTATGGCCATGTTTGGATAAATATCTTAATTAAGTGATTATGATATGTGTTTATGTAACAAAAATTATCTTGGAACAAAAAAAGCTATAAATATTTAATAAGAGAATGAACTGATTTTTTACTTGACAACAATCTCAGATATGTAGCCGCCTCCAACGCGTCCAAGAAAGTTCCAAATGCTGATCATGGAGACAAATATATGTGCATTGTCATAACCTAGAGATTGACTCATCTGACCGAGATTATCAATTACGGTCAAACCAGATCCAGAACCTAAGACCATGGAAATAAAAAGAAGCCAAAAATCTGCTTTAATCAAAGCTTGCATCAACGTAAAATCTTCTCCTCTATGTGGTCCTCTCCTTCTCTTAACCCTAACAGCTCCTTCTGCAGCTGCTTGTAGTAATCTCGATTGTAATTGCGCTATACGTTTCTGCCTTTCCAATGCAGGGAGCAAGTCCATATCCTTAGGCTTCTCATCTTCCAACTCACTTAATATTACTTCATCCGAATCAAGTTGTGAATGTCCTTGTGGTTCTAGAAGTGCTTCTTCCTCTAGAGGTTTTTCAACTGGTCCGAAAGTTAACGACAGAGGAATTACAATTGGGGCGAGGAGAATCACAAAGAGGATACCAGTAAAAATTGTGACAACGGTTTCACTCAGATCAACTAAATCTTGAACAATCATAACTCCCATCATATATGCAGCCAACAAGAGGCATACACCGTAGACAAGTGTGAACGATTTTCCGTCCGATGGACGCACCTGTTTGTGACCTCCGACCGGTCTAACAATGAACATAAGACCAATTGCTACCAAGGATGGACCAATAGCAACCATAAATATTAATGATGCATGATCAGGGGAATGTATAAGTACGTATATCTGTGTCAATATTGCACCACTCAAACCAGCAAAGCCTTTTAGAATACCGACAACAGGACCTCGGCTTTTCGGGAAATTTTGCACACAAGACACCAATGAAACTGTGTTGAAGTAGGTTTCACCGTTTGTTCCAATAAATATAAGAATACAGATCTGCATACCAATAACAACTAATCAGATAAATTGGACAGCAAAGTAAATAAATATATTAAAAGATGCCTCTTAATTGCAATTAAAGTGCTTATTATCTTATGATGATTTCATTGTCCTGAAATATAGACTAAGAACATCTTGACATATCAATGTGTGATGGATATTAATTAACTTATGATCCTGAAGAGACATCAACTATAACATGTCAGTACTAGGCATAATATGGGTAGCACCAACACATCGGATTGAAGGTATCTGGTATCTGACACCAACACGACACTAACACGTGTGTAACATTCAATCACTTCCCTTTTCTTAAATTATTACCGGTGTCTAGTCCTGGTATCAATGTCGTGTCTAGTGTCCATGCCTATGCCAGTGTTTCAAAGCAGATAACTAGATAAGGCATCTTCACAATTTGCCTGTATTAGGCTTACTTGCAGGATTCTCATCGGCAGATGGAGGTTTATGGAGGATGGAAAAAATTCCGCCATATAAAAACGGGCTAGCGACTTATGCCACTACCATGGCTAAAGACACTTCACAAACTACCTGTGGTAGCTGGCACAAAATCCACCTCACCATTCCACCAACACTGCTGGTTAACAATGTTACTTTGGTGCGCTCGGGTCAAACAAACTCAAAATCATTACGCTGAAACATGGACCACCAAGTTTCCTGTTCTTATGGCGCAGCCGTAGCAAGTGGCTCATCATAAATTGCCTATGGTAGCCGGCAAAAAATGCACCACGCCATTCAACCATTCCCGCTATCTAAGAGCGCTACATACTGTGGTCAGGTCAAATAAACTGAAAACTGTTATTTCAAGTTTTTGGATTAATCACCAAACTACACCTTTAATCGAAACCAAATCAACAAGACAATCCTTAGCCATAAGCCTTCCCCAAATTTTTTTAACATCCTCCATTTTAAAATGAGGTCACTACTAGAGTCCAAATTTTAAACATATCCAAGATACAACTTTAAGGTACAATGTTGTCAAGCGTGACATATTAAATCAAAACTTTCTAAAGGAATCTTGGAAAGTAATTAAGACATTACTCATTAAAACTTATTGCATAATCAATTTCCCAATTGCAGTTACAAAAAAACACACACAAGAGAGAGGCATCCTAGAATAATCCAAACTACTAATAGTTATCTATCTTTGTGAGCAAGATTTGGCATCATTTCACCTGCTCACATGGGAGACATCTGACAGATACAACCAACAACCAATTGAATAAAGTTAAATTCGATTAATCATAAAAGTCTCTGGTCAGCTTAAGACACAAATTGTTTCAACGTGCCATTTTTTTTTCACTTTTTCAAAAGTATGCTGCAAATCATCACATTGGTATAATATTGTTAAACAGTCAAAAATTAAAGTAAGCATAAACAGGAATCTACAGACAAAGATATTCCATAAAGAAAAAGGGGGAAAATAAAGATGAAAACAAACCTAATGAAAATTTTCCCAAGCCAAGATTCAATAAAAGAGAAATAGAATATTCATTTAAGAGGATTTGGCTGTAAAGGACCCTTTTAGGTTTAAAGTCCCTTCTTTCTTATATTGAAGAAACAAATCAACCCTTTATTCCAGGTATTAAGGTCCTAAAGTTTCTTTATGAAAAAGTTACATTTTCATAAATAGTTGATCTAGGTGGACATAAAACCCATAGAAAGAAATTAAGCATACAAAAAAATCTGAAAAACTCATTTTAATCCAAAGAAAAAGAGATTAAAATTATGTTTGGATTGATAGAATAAGATGAAATGGTGTAATAGAGGGATTGAATAGAGTTAAATTTCATTGTTTGGATTAGTTAAAATAGAATAGTGGAGAGCTGAATTGAGTGGCATCTATCTATTCCATTACATTCTAACCACCATATTTCTTCCCCTTTGATTCAGACAGAATGAAGAAATTGTATTGCTCCGTTTTAAAATATCCAAACAATGGAGATTTCGTTCCATTCTGTTCTTTTCCATTTCGTTCATTTCAAGCCAAACACAGCATAAATCACGATCGAATCAACAACAAGTTCCACAGTATCACGATGTGTGTCGCGGTGATTTTGACAAAACCACGGTGTTACAGAGTCAAACGAAACATACTCAAAGATCCGCCACACAAATTTCAAAACCACATGAACTCATTGCTACTCAACAAAAAAATTCAAAACCTAACAATTCAAAATTGCATTAATTGTACAGTTGATTAGAGTATCTACAACAATAAATACAACGAATTCAAAGAATGAATGAACAAAAATATACTCACAGCCCATAAAGGAAGAGTAGGAACTTGTCCAGTAACAATCAACCAAACCCATCCATACCCAACGAGATTCAAACAAGCCCCCACGAGCAACGCCCCCCAAATAGGCAAAACCTCACACAAAATCCCCGTCAAAAACCCCACACAATCACCCAGGTCTTTAGCAACCCCCAATATAGCAAGTTGCTTTTGATTATAACCCAGCGAACTCTTAATCACCGGCGAAATACTTCCAAACAAGTACCCAATACCCGCCCACGACTGTAACCACATTGCTCCAACAAAAACAAACCATCTACTCTTGTATAGGGTTACTAACTTCTCTTTAAATTCACTCATTTTACGAAATCACACCAATTTATACTTTTGATGAAAAATGAATGTTGATCGATGAAGAAGAACAGGAGAGAGAGAGAGAGAGAGAGAGAGAGAGAGAGAGATGACGACACAATGGGAAGGTGGTTTGGTGGTGACTGAGATGAGGGTGATTGAGATGATGAGATGGCTGCAATAGTTTTATTAATATAATAATCAAACCATTTGTAGAAAAGAATAAATTGACTCAGAAAAACGTGGAACATATGAATTTATATATTGGTGGCGGTGCCAACGACTCATTTTCTAAAAATAATGTATTTAATTTATTAGCTTCTATAATTTATCTATAATTAACTGATTCAAAAACCGCATGGACGCACAGGTTAGTTTAACACTAACGACAAGGCATTTGACATACACAAATTTTTTCGTGTTCTAATTTTATATATATATATATATATATATATATATATATATATATATATATATATATATATATATATATATATATATATATATATATATATATATATATATATATATATATATATATATATATAATTGTTTATTAATTGTACAGGCATGAGGCATGATGTATTTCTATACTACATACTTATAATATTCTTAAGTAAAATGCAATATTAAATAGGGTTTGCCGGTTGTACATATATTCAGTTATTACGTGTAAAAGATATCTACAATAAATAGAGTAAAAGTCAATAAAAAAATATAGATATGAGTATGAGTATAGATAATTAACTCTTAAAATAAGTGGATTTGGAGATAAAGATTGGAGAAGCTAGTGATTAATGGGGCATTTGCCCCTAAGAATTTTTTTTGAGAACCAATTTTTTATTTTAAAAAGTTTATTATTTATTTTGTGTGTAAAAATAAAATAGTTTTTAAAAATGTATAATTATTAAAAGATTGTTTGAATAATTTTCTTGATCATCAATTTTATTATCATTAAATATTTTATCTCCACCAAAATAAATTTTTGGATCCACTGATGGTATGAGTTACTTAGTATCCACGTTAATAGATTTAATTGAATTAGATAGATATAAATCATAGCATATTATTATTATGTTATAGAATAATCAAGAATAATTAGAACAATGTGTACCTTAAAGGATTGTGGAGGATTGAAGAGATTGTTGTCAGAGAGATTGAATATGAAATTATTATTATACTCATTGTTGTCTAGGGTTTTTAGAGTATGTTAATTGTCTAATGAGGCGACACTTAAATAGTTAAACGACTGAGGGCAGAGATTTTTCATTGGACTTAGTTGAATGGTCTAACCCATCATGGTCCATTCATACACAAAACTCAATCAAACAATTCATCTATTTAGTATTTAATAACAATAGACTATAATATAATTAATTAATAATTAATTATATCAATCTATATTTGATTAATTAAATAATTAATCTAACAATCTCCCACTTGGATGACAATAATTAATTATTAAAAATATTGATTTTAATATTAGAATATCAATAATGGTCGAAACACTAATCAATCAAAAAGAAGTAAATTTCAACGCTGCAAAAATTGTATCTAATAGGGAAGACAAATCATAAATGTTAAACCTCACAACTTTATATAAAAAATGATGAACTTAAAGTAACATACTTAAGTTAAGAGTAATATGTTATAAATAATTGTCCAAACATATAAAAATGCTATTGATAAACTCCCACTAACTCAAAACATCATAAGACTTACTCATGTGTATAAGTATATGTTTAGTGATTATACTAATGAGTTTTAAATTATAGGTCATAAAATATCCACATAGATCTAAGAATTGTAATTACATATAGGGATACCCTATTACGAGAGTAATTACATTTAATCATAAGTACCTTCATAACACAATATCATACTCGATAGGAGTTGTTATGAGCTAGGCCAGTAGCTGCCCCACAGTCGGGGCAGGCCCAACCCAATACTACATTAGGGAGGCCCAACAAGGCCCAATCCTCCATCCCGTCGAACACGCCCCAATACACTATGCAGTCGGGCAAACCAACTACCTAGCACGGAGAGGACTCACGCGTCTCCCCCCACATTCTCCACATGTTCCCCATGCGAGGACATGTCATCAAGCAACTACCCTTGTCCTAAAGAATCAGTCTTCCACCTTCCGAGGATCACAGGGCAGTTGGACCAGGGTGAAGACCATATGTTGGTCTTCCCTACGCCACGTAGACCCTGACAGTTACTTGTGTTGGGCCTGGAAATCTAGCCCAATGCAATATAACCATTGGCCCAGCGTCGGGGCACACTATAAATACCTTTTTTCATTAAGGGTAGGGTATTATGAATTCTACACCTTCTTTCTGTACTTTCTCTCTCTCTCTCTCTCTCTCTCTCTCTCTTACTCTGTTTCTCACTTTAGCATCGGAGTACCTTACATGTACACCTCTCCTCTTGTCCAACACCGAAAAACGAAGGAGCTCACGGCGTGTGCTAGCTGCTAATTCTTTTCCGACCCGGTAAGATCAGTGGCGCCGACTGTGGGACTCTTGCTTCCCCGTTCTTTCTTCTATAGAAACCCAACAACCAAAGTAATTTACAACCTCTGTTGATCATGGTCAGCCCAATGAACAACAACACTTTAAAAACCGCCTTCACTCCGTTCATCAATAGTGACAGTCACAACCCCAACTTGACCGTTCACGTCAAAGAGGGCGACCCCAGGGATGGGCACACCGCCTCTCCCTCCTGGGACAACACGACCTTTAACGCCGCCCGACGCTTTGATATCCCGATTGCCTACTAGTGAATCATTGTGCCGCCTAACATTGACCCAACCATGGTGGCCCTATTTGTAGCAATCAATCAGACAAACCTGATGATTTTTCAACAGAACGAGCAGATCAGAATGTTGGAGAAAGACTGACAATCACGCTCTTCCCCACAGACACATTGTTTCCCAGTTTCTTGCAGCCCGTCCCTGCGATGAAAAGAAACTCGTCCTTCCACTCCCCCGTAGAGGCTACAACATGAGGTGTCTCGGAGTCCCTCCCCGAGGCAGGCCAGGCGTCGTCCGCGATTGGAACGACCACAACCAGTGGCCACCCAGAAGCGTAATCGTTCTCCTTCCCAGAAGGAATGACGCTCCCCTACTCATAAAAGGAATAAAGCTTACAGATACGTCGAGAAGCCAAAGAGTCGGTCAATGAGTCCTCCCCAGTGGAGCAGAAACGACCGAGGTGACCTTTCCCCATCTCAATCATTTGTCAGGAACGACGAGGATGGCTAGCACACACCGCTGTCCAGGACCATCATGGAGACTCCCTTGCCCGTCGGGATGGAAAACCTCCGCCCTTGGCAATATATGATGGTACAACTGACTCAAACGACCATATTGAAAGTATTGATGCGATGCTCAACTACCGGAACATCCGGGGAGCCATCAAGTGCAAGCTCTTCCCCCAATACCCTAAGGGTGCCATGGCGTGGTACAAGAGCTTCGCACCCGAGTCCATCACCTCCTGAAAGGAGTTGAAAAGGTAGTTCTCCAGGCACTTCACTGCTTCCTGGTGCCACCCGAAGACGGAAGCATCCTTGGAAGCCATCATCCTGGGAAAAGAAGAATCTCTCCAGGATTTCATAGAGAGGTTCAACCGAGAAGTTGTCCAGGTATCCACCTCGGACAACATGAAGAAAATTTTTATCGAGTGAGGACTGCGACCTTGTATCGAGTTCGTCAAGGCAGTTGGTATTGAAAGGCCTAACACCTTATACACGTTCCTCCATAAGGCCCAGGCATACATCCAGTATGAGGAGATAGAGGCTGCCCACTACATCCGCGACTCGCGGAGTCAAGAGGGTGCCAAGAGCTTCAGGCACGAGGATTCCACCGCTCCCCGACGAGGCGGGGAAAGAAGATGAGAAGATCGACCCCAGGACTCCCGAGAGCAAAGGGGGCCCGCAGGCCGGTTCACTGAGTACATGCTACTCACAGCTCCCTGCGAGCGTATCCTATCCGAGTGTATCAACTCAGAATTTCAAAGAGGTGGTGTCCGTTTTCCGAAATCGACATCCCCTAAGCCCAACGTTGATAAGTCCAAGTACTTCCGATTCCACCAGAGTCATGGACACGTTAAGGAAGATTATATCCACCTCAAGGATGCGATTGAGACCCTAATTAAGGAGAGGCACCTGAAATAGTACACTCGGAGAAATGATGCTTCTCAACAGGAGACCTGCAAAGCCAATAGGGTTGAGGAGGTGTCACCACCCTTAGAAAAAGCCAGACTGCAAGTCTCCCTATGTGTCTCCCAGTCAGAAGACTTTCTCCTCCCCGGAGAACCCGAAGCATTTTTCACCCACAGTCTATTGGAGCACTTCCCCACCGCGATGGTCATATCTGACGGGGGCCCCAACAAGCTCTCAGTCGGGTTGGTCAAGAGGAAATTCGAGGAGATGATCGATAAGAGCTCAAAGCAGAGCGCCACCCTCGACAAGTTCAAAGGTAAATCAAACTCGATTACCTTATACCTCGAGGAACTGCCTGGGGCGCACTCAACTTCAGCATCCCCCTCTTGATCGGGGCTCAAATGGAAAACTTTGATGTACGCCGCATCCTAGTCGACCAAGGGAGCTCGGTGGACATAATGTACGCCCATCTGTTTACTACCCTCCAGCTCGACGAGAGCCATCTGACCTCGTGTGTCAGCTCCGACCTATAGGGCTTCAATGACACCACCACAAATCCTTGGGAATACATGGAGCTGCTCGTCACATTTGGAGCCGAGGAGACCGCCAAGCAGGTGAAGGTCCGCTTCTTGGTGATCGAATGGCCCTCTTTGTACCAGTGTATCTTGAGAAGGCCGACTCTAGCTGAACTGACTATGATGCCATCTATAGTGCACCTAAAGATGAAGTACTACACGGTCATAGGTCGAGTCATCACCCTTCACGGGGACATCGAGGCAGCCTAGAGATGTTTCGAGGCGGAAATCAAAGGGCTTAATTCGATCAACATCACTCCAAGACGATCG